AAAAGTAGACGCGCGAAACTGGCACATGCACGGGGAAGTGATCGTTTTCTTAGTTATTGTTTTGCCGATCGGCCCAGGCCCTCGCACCCTCCGCCACCCATGGGGTAGATCTGGGCTGGTTCTGGCGCCCGTTTCAAGCAGGTGGAGTCTCTCTCCCCTGGGACGCATTGTTGCAAACAACCGCACTGAGCAGAGGTCCAGAGCCAGACTCCCCCCTTCCTCCCCCACCCTTCAGCCCAACGTCGAAACGCCGAATCAGAAAAGGCTCTCCTCCTCTTTCGCCTGCGCGGCCGGAAGGTAGACGCATCCACTGCTTATCTAGGTCTCCCAGGTGGGGTGCGTGCAGATGGGGGCGAAGGATCGCTCCGCATCACCGATGCATCGGCGCTGCAACTCGATGTGGAGCCCAATGTGGAATCGCCGAGTATTAAAACGCTACGGACGTCCGAGCGATAGCGGGACCCTGGACTTTGCCTGCAGCCGCCCTCCCCTGGCGCGGCTCTCTTCCGCGAGGGGGCCCCGCCGCCCCCGCCCCCCCCGCAAACGAGGCGAGCGGCCCCGCTGCCGTGCGGTGCTCTCGGCCCTTTGCTGCGAGCGCTGGGCCTCCCGCTGCGACGAGGGGCGGCCCAAGGCGCCGGCGCACCCCCGCTCGGAGCTCTGGTGGACCCAACTCACCACCCACCAAACCACCCCCACCCAACCCGAAGGCCTCAATTCGCCCTCCGTTTCCAGTGGTGGGGGGGTCGGGGCACAGTGAAAACATCCAGATGGAACCCGCACCCCCACCCCAACCCGAAATTCGGATCTTCGGGTCGGGTTGGGGTGGTCTGGTAGGTAGTCACCAACAGGGGGCCCAGGCGAAAAGGAAGTGGTAATTACAACATAGAGCTGGTGCAGTAGATTGTGGAGTTGCCATAGATTTGGGGTGTGCAAGACATCCCGGTGCGCAAGCGTATTGCTGGATTTTCGCGTGCAATGCGTTAGTTGAAATACAATGCAAGACAATTATTTGGCGCAATACATTTGCAATGCGATTGCCCAAAATCTATTGCATCACCCGCTTTCAGCTGGACCCCCTTCTGGGCCATGAGGAAGAGCCCCGAATCATGGGGGCCGGTGAGGGATAGCTACACATTCGCGCCTTGGGGTCCAAAACTGAAGTTGCCCCGGAGCGCAGTTATCCCGAATGAGTCTGGCGCCAAACCTTCCCGAATCATCAATGCTGGGAGCAGTCAGGGGTAGCTGCATATTCGCGCCTCGGGGGGCCAGTTCGGAGCTACCCCAGACCGCAAACTCGGGCGTCTAATCCGCCGCGTGTGTGTGTTGTGTTTTGTGTTTTTTTTTCCCGATAGACTCGGGATGCAGAACGGATCCCGGGGACGGAGTCGGGGCCCCAGACGGTCGACGTCGTGAAGCGACAGTGAGGTCGTCCGGGGCCAGGGCTCGCGGGCGGCGGAGGTCGATTGGGGGGATCGCACGCCCTCCCCTGCCCCGCCTGCCCCGGCTCTGCCCCTGCCTTCCTCCGACGCTGGGCAGACGCGGTCGGGGGCGGAAAAGAGGGGGGTGATGACACTAGGGGGGGGGGTATCATGGCGGGGGGCATCATACTTCCCCAGATGTCATGGCGCCTCTTCTCATTTCAATGCGGTCCCGGCCCCCCCGCGGGGCCGCGCACGTGCCGCCGGCCACGATTTGCACCCCCCCTCTTGGACCCCCCCTCTTGGCCGCTCCCGACACGGGTGAGCTGGGATCCTAGCGTTCGTGCCTCCTCCGAGGCTGTCTCCCGCCTCTGCGACAGCACCGCCGCGCACTCCGCGGCACTCCGCGGAGTGCGGCGACGGCGCCCGAAGTGAAAGTAGCCGGGCGGGGATGTTGCGAAACGGGAGGCGGGCTCCGGACAGGGCGGGGGCTGGAGTTTCTCAGCGTCCATCCTGTGAGCTCAGGAGATCTCCAGCCCCTCCCCCTCCCCCTTCCCGAGCAGCCCCGCTGCCGCGCGGCCCTCCTCGGCCCTCCGCCTCGAGCACCCTGGGGCCTCCCGCTGCGACGAGGGGTGGCGCAAGGCGCGCTGCCGCCAGCCTTCAAGCAGTGGCGAAGCGTCCTGGCTCGCCTATAGCCCAACAGGACCTTTTGTGGTTCCCACGAAATGTTCCTAGAACATCTCTGGCCATGACTGTCTTGTTTTGACACATCGGGTCTATGTTCTGAGAACCCTGTTTTTGCTCTTCGAACATTTCTGGGTTCTGAGAACACTTCGTGGTAGGACGATAGAAATGCCGGGACGGCCGGTCCCTGCTCAGATCCTGGGATTGTGGCGTGTGTCCTCTGGCGCGCGTGCCGGTCGTTGCCCGGGGCTCCCCGCCCCCTCCCGCGTGCTGGTGCTCGCGCGTTCCTGGCCAGCCTCGAGCTTTTTCCCTCTGAGGTTGACAAGCCAGCAGGCGACGACAATCTTATGCCCAGAGATCCTGGCGTTGCACATTTTTTGTCGCTACCGGAATTTTCGCTCCATTTCGGGCCCTGGGACCCTCACAGATCGATCCGGCTCGAAAAATGACGCAGAACGATGGGGTCCCAGTCTCCAGTCGCGATTTCGTCAAATTTTATATTTGTTTTCCAGCGTCGGATCTCAGGGTCGCGCGCATACTATAACGATTGCAACGCAACCCCGCCCAGCGACGCAGCCCACCCCACCCGCAAGCGTTGTATTTGTTTGTTTACGGGGGCGGCGTGAACGGGAGATGTTCGGAGCCCCATGCTTTTACAAAGTTGAAGGCCAACTTCGCTATCATGGAGAAGTTCGGAATAGTGTTGCTCGGCGGCCAAAAGGTTCTCAATGCCTAGAGCGCGTTTGCACTTTTCGTGAACTCCCGAATTGATTTCGCACTTGCTCCGAACTTTCCCCGAGCTCCCCCCAAACGTTGTCCACACTTTTCCATCCGTTGGTATTGATTCAAGATGTGTTCAAACTTGTTCATACTTTTCCAAACTCTGTCAAACCATTTTCTTTTTTTCCGAGCTATCCCTGCATGTTTGAATGTTAGTTCGAATTTTTGTTTTCCTTGGTTCCCGAACTCGAGCTCCTAACCTTCTCTCCGCCCGAACCCACGCCCTGACATGTTCCTTTCCCAGGAATGACCGCCTGTGCCTGTGCCCTCCTCAGCCAGATACAACCCAAGCGTTACCGTCTCTTCCACGGGGTAGCGACCAATTACCGGCAATGAGAGAGAGCGATATCCTTGCCTTTGATGCAGTCACAAGGGGGTCGATTGGGGATCGGTCTTCCCCGCTGACGGGGCTGCGCTCGCGGTCGTGAGCGGCATGCGTTCGCCCTGGGATTTGCGGCCTTCGGCCGGGATGCCCGACTGTTCGGTGGATGCAGGTTGTTGTGCAGAGCATCCCCTTGGCGGCCCAGCTTCCATGTCCTACAGGGGCCTCATACGAGCTTGGCGCTTCGCTAGTGTGGAGAGACTGGCGGTCCCCTGCTGGTGTCCCACCCACCCACCCACCATCCCCTTCCCAATCGTTGTCTTGGAGAAAGTGACACGCTGCCCGTGACCAAGATGTCGCAGGATCTTGTCCACGACGGTGACCCACGAATCGACGGTGACCAAGTTCGGTACCTACGTTGCCGCGTGCAGTCTTGGTCATGGTAACAGGTTTTCCCCCTTCGCTGCTCCTTCTGGATAACTCTTCCCTATCGCACCCCCAGACGTGTCGGTAGGGCGGGCCTGGCGGGCCGCTTGCGGCTCCTCAACATGTATCACCTTGAAGTTTGAAGCAGGAGTTGCACGGACGGGGGGGGGTGGGTGAACGTTCTCGCCTTCGTGCCGCACGCCTTCGTCTTAAAGGTTGCAACGTTTCCCACGATGGGGCACCGTTCGTTTTGAATATGGGGCTCTCGCCTTAGCGCCGCGCATTCTCCTCGTCAGTATGTAACAATTACAGGGGTGCATCGCGGGTCGTTTTCACAGTGGGGCTCTCGCCTGAGCGCCGCGCACATTCGCTTCAACAAAAGCTTGAAACCGTTACCAGAGTGGAGCAGCAGTTGTTTTGTTTTCAACATGGGGTTCTCACGTTATCGCCGCGCTCGCTCGCCTCAGAAACTTGCTTGCAGCAGCCTCAGAGATGTCTCGCAGGTCGTTTTCAAAGTGGGGCTCTCGCCCTAGAGCCGCGGACATCCGTTCGACGGTGCGCAGCAACTTCAGGCATGTAAGTCAATTCCTTTTCCAAAGTAGGATGTTCGCCATGTCGCCACGCACGTTCGTCTTCAAAGCTTGCAGCCGCTACAGGGAGCACGGTTCCGTTTCCACTATGGGGCTTTCGCTTGGGGTGCCTTGCAACAAAGCACAGGCTAGCAGCGATGGAGGGCGGCCCTCTTTCCAATCTGAGGTTTTGGCTTGCGACCTCTTCGGATTGCATGGCACAATTTATTAACTTGGCAGATTTGGGGCGGTCTTTTTCAGCACGGGGATCTCGCTGGACACCTCGATGAATTGTAGGATCGTACAGCTTCGCAGTCCCAGTTGCTCCCTGGAGGGCTGCAGGGCACCTCTTTTTCAAAGTGGGACCCTCGCCTGAATGACAGCCCCGTGGGGTGTTGGTCTCTCCCCTCGACTCTCTAGGGTCGAGGGCAAGACTTGGCAAGTAGGAGGCAGCTGACTCCGAGGCGGGGATTTGTCCATAGCCGCCGCCTGGGGGATTGCCCTTGGAGCCGTGGGCCGACTACATTCAGACAGCGACACTACGAGCAGAGCACCTTATGAAGTTTCACGGCATCGACAACTGGTGGACGGTACATTCGCGGAATGTGTGGCGCATGGTTTCACGAGTCTTAAACCACGACCGAACAAGGTGGATATGGCGAGTGCTACGCTGGCAACCAGGCCTTAACCGGCGTCAGCAGGGACAGAGGCAGCACGGTGGCCAACGCAGGCGTTGGTACGACGAAATCAACCCCTACTGACGCCAACGCAGACCAGACCTCCACCGACCATCCACAGAGGCCCAACTGAGAGGACAGCCAAAACGACATCATATGGACGCAGAAAGCCAAATATACCGAAACATGGGCGGCGCTCGAGCATCACTACACCGACCTCACACCAGTAAACACCTAGGACCAAGACTCATCAAGTGAACGCCCAGAGGAAGTCGAGACTGCACGCTTCGCCCGCGCCGACGCCGACGCCAGGGACTTCCCCTTTCTCTTCCTCCTCCGCTGGTCTGGGATCAAGATGTCCAGCGCTTCCGTTGCATAGCGTGCTGGTCTTCCAGCCGCCACAAGCATGCCCGAGCCAAACTCCCTTGTCCCGCCCCGCACGGCATGGGACATACTGTAATGGAAGCTGGCCCTTACACATTTTGTAAATTTTATTGGTCGCATTCTTCGACAAATGTGTCATACTTGTTTCGCTAGTGTTTGCGCAAAGCGGCTTCCAGAACAGGCCGCGATCGATTGGGCCGCCTGCTGGACGGGCTTGACGTTAGGCGCAATGTTTCGCTGGGACCTGTCGTCCCTGCCACTCTCCGACTGTATCACGAGTTAGGGGATTTAGCTGCTGTGGACCCCCAGCTTGCGTGGGCTCCCCACCTTGCCAGCTTCACACGATAGGCTGCTCGACGGTGACGGCCTTCACGATTATGAAGGCCAATCCATAGTCCATAGTCCATAGTCCTGACTCTATCGATGTGCCTCGCACTGCATGTATCCAGCCAGGCCAGAGTCTCAACGCCGCTGCCTCACCCACCTGGTCCGAGCCAGGCCTGGAGGCTGGCCACAACGGTGGTCGCATCGCGTCGCGCATCGCATCGACCTTCGGGGACCTCGGCATGCAGTGGTCAGGAGGGAGAAAAACACAGACACAATTAATCGTCGATCCCCCAGAAAAATATGGGAAAATGTGGGAAGTGGGGGGGAAGACACCAACCCAGAAAATATTGGAAAATATAGGAAATCTTTTCATTTGTGTGTATTTATTTCTGTGTCCTGGGGCCCCTTCAAGTGGATATGAACATGTTCGGGCCCCGTGGGCCCAGATCATCTTCATACCCCCGGCCCGGTGGGGCCCGAGGGCGTCGGTTCCCCACGAGGCGGATGTGGCTTGGTATCGCTCGGACGTGTGCATTTTTTCTCGGCGGGGATTGTAAAAGAGCATCCTGAATCATCCTGCGAAAAAAAACCACGCACGAAACCGAAAAAAAACACAGGGAATGGCCGACCGAGCGATGGCGAGATGGACGCATCCCCGCCTCGACGCTGCAGCAGGGGGAGGTGCTGAAGAGGAGGGCTGGCGAAGGCGACGCGGCTTGCACGAGGGCGGGCTCGGGGTCAGGAGGGGTAAAGATGAGGAGGAGAGGATGGGGAGGAGGAGCAGGGAGGAACAGGGAAGAGGAGGAGGAGGCGGAACAGGGAGGAGGAGGAGGAGGCGGAACAGGGAGGAGGAGGAGGAGGAGGAGGAGGAGGAGGAGGAGGAGGAGGAGGAGGAGTAGGAGTAAGAGTAGGAGGAGGAGGAGCCGGAGGAGGAGCCGGAGGAGGGTCGACTGGGTGCCCGACGCTCCAGAGGCGCAGCTGCTGGAGTCGTTCCCGTTCCTGCGGGGCTGCCGGGGGGCGCCGTCCGCACACCTGCACGGGGTCCTGGCTGGGCCGATCTTCGGGTGGGGCAAGCCCAGACGTGCTCACGTCATGGAAAACTCACGGCGGTTTTGTTGTTGGCGGTTCTTTGCTTCCCCGGGGGCCTCGCTGGGCCCCAGGACAGTCACAACACGACTCGGGACCAACAGCCGGCCCTGGGGAAGGGGTCGTGATGTGTGGGGACCACGTGCTGGAAACATCTGGGCATCGCATGTTTGGAAGATATTGATACCGCTGCTCATCCTGTAGATCCGTCGTCGCCGCAGCTGGAGTCTCCTCGGCATTCTGGTGAGAATGCTTTCCAGGAGAGGTCCAGGGAGCAGCGGCAGCGATACAGTGTTGTCCCCCCAGATCTTGGGCCCCGGTCCTGTGTACGGTAGGTTCGCGCCGCGTCGACGCTGCGGCGACCCCCCGCACGGGCGTTCAGGGCTGGGCGCCGCAAGCTGGCGGGCCTCGGCCAACATCGAGCGACCTGCGCTGTCGGGGAGCAGCGATGCGCTCGAGGTCGGGCGATCCCCCGCGGGGTCGGGAGCCAGGGCACGCGGCCGGCGCGACACGAGCCTGCCAGGTGTGCGCCTGCTGGCCAGGCCAGGAGAGGCGCACACGCCGAGCCTGGGCGCAGGCAGGGCCTGGCCAGGGGCGGCGCACGCAGCATCACCGGCCTCGAACGTATCCCTATCCCGAAGATTGACGCGCCAAAAGGCGATGGCAATCTTAGGGATGCGCCCTCAAACAACAAGGGAAGCCCTAAGATTGGCATCGTGATGAGGAGGTGCCCAGCACAGGGATATCGAAGGCATAAGAAAAAACGCCCCTACCCTGGTTTACGAGGCGCTGTGCGCTGAAACTCCTGTGGGCTGACAGGGTAAACCCTGCGTGATGTGCCGCGTCCTGGCGGCTCTAGGCTTTGGGGGTTCCCAGGAGGTTTACAGACCACGCACTTGTAACCCAGGGTAGGGTCGTTTTTTCATCCCTCAAGGATAGGGATGTGTTCCAGGCTGGCAACAGCAGGCGTGCGGTCGGGGGCCTCACAGGCTGGGGGGGCACGGAGGCGCTGCCGGAGCAGTGGACCCCGACGCAGGCGGCCGCCCCTGCGCGGCGCCAGGAGGGAAGGACATCGAGGATCTCCAGAGTCGAGGCTCGAGGTTCGGGCCGGGCGGAAGGGGGGGATTGGGAAAGGGGGGGCGTTACGAAATTTGCTGCATGCAGCTGGTTTCGGCCCCACCGAGGGGCCCATTCCTCGATACATGGCTCCATCCGGCGCCGGGAGGCGCCAGATGGAGCCGATTCTCAAACCCCCCCTTTGCTATCCCCCCCTTTCGCCCGACCCGAGAGGTTCGAGGTGCGCTGTTCTTTTGGCAGCTGTTGTGCCCAAGCTGGGCCTCTTCGTCGCCACGGGTGGATCCGCAGAACCACCCAGGGATTGGTCCCCGGGCCGAGTTTTTACCGGAGGGTCGCCACGAAGGACAGGGTGTCTTGGAGGAGAGGGGTCCCCGAACTTGTGTGCCTTTGCTGTTTTCTCTGGTTCCCGGGGCTCTCCCGAGCCGTTTTCGCAAACATTGGTTCTCCCCCAATCCCCGAGTCCCGCCCAAAAAGTTTGGCTGCTCAGAAGAAGAAGGGGGGAATTTTGGGGTACACCCACGGGAGCTACTCGGATGTACCCCTATCGAGGATGGACGCCCCCCCATCGTATATCCCAGTGTTGGGAATGTGTGGTCCAGTCGAACAAAGCCCACGAAGCCTGGGATGTGGATCGGCATATCCCCTGGTACTTTCGGATGGTCAAGAAGTTCCCCGTGGCTCAGTGTTTGTCTCGTTGGGAGCCTTGGGGTCTAGGACCCGTTCTTGACCAGCCTCGAGCTTGTATCCATACCCCCTGAGGTTGACAAGCCAGAAGGCGACGACAATCCTGGCGTTGCAATTTTTACCACAAACGGGCGATCCTGCAAGGTTTCAGGCCACGGGGCTCACAGATCGATCCGGCTCGAAGAAAATCAGAAACAGAGGGTCCAGGGCTCTGGTCATGCTTGTGCGTTGTTGTGTTTTTCCCACATCCCCAAAGTTGGTTTCTCGTTTCCTCTGGACACCCCGCGCAGGAACAGGATGGAAGGAACACCCCCTCCCTCACTCACACACTCGCACACTCACACCATCTCCACAGCATCAACATCACTTACATACTCACTCTTATTCACTCGACCACTCTCATTCACCCACTTGCACTCGCTCATTCTGAGTGGCTCACTCACCCACTCACAGCTACTACTCATCACTCATCATCACCATTTTCAAAACACCACCGTCACCGTCGTCAATATCGCACACACTCACTCACGCACCCACACACTCAGCTTGAGGAGGTCTCAGGCGGGAGCCTCGTCTGTGAGTAAACACCATCACTATCACCCATCACCATCGTCACCATGATCACCCATCACCCGCCACCATCGTCACCATCACACATCACCATCGCCCTTCTCATCGGAGGGAGCCTCAGGCGGGAGCCTCGTTTGTGAGTGAATTGCGATCCCCACATCCCAAGTGGGGTTCTCGTTTTCTCTGGACACTCCGTGCAGTCCTGTCACCTCACCCCCTCTCCTCTTCTGCCTTCGCACGTTCACTCGCTCAATCACTCACGTACCATCATCATCATCATCATCATCATCATCACCACCATCCTAACACCTTCAGCTTCTTCTTCCTTCACACACTCACTCACTCCATCATTCGCACCATCGTCACCAGTCACACACTAACCACACATGATCACTCTATTACGCAATCAATCACTCACGCTCAATCATTCACCCCATTATCATCAGTCACACACTTACCACACACGATCTCACTATCACGCACTCAATCACACACACACCATCATCACCACTGGCCGCATCACCATCTCAATCATCATCATCACTCATACCATTATGATCATCACTCGCCTGTGTGCCGTCTCGGGTGGGAGCCTCGTCTGTGAGTGAATTGCGACGAGGTCTCAGGCGGGAGAACCCGATGGGGCCCGCGCTTCATGTTCGAATCCGAGGCGGGTCATCGGCCTCCTGTAATTGTCGTCGCTGTTGGGCTCCTGAGGCTTGAATATAGAGGAAGTATGCGGCGGGAGCCTCGTCTGTGGAGGAGTGAATTGCGAGGAAGTCCAGGCGGGAGCCCCCTCCCTATGGGGCCCGCACTTCATGTTCGAATCCGAGGCGGGCCATCGGTCTCCTGTAACGGTCGTCACTTGTGGGCGCCTGGGGCTTGAATCTGGAGGAAGTATGAGGCGGGAGCCTCGTCTGTGAATGAATTGCGAGGAAGTCTCAGGCGGGAGACCCCTCCCTAAGGGGCCCGCACTTCATGTTCGAATCCGAGGCGGTTATCTGCCTCCTGTAATTGCCGTCACGTTTGGGCGCCTGATGCTTGAATGGCTTGAATATGGAGGACGTATGCGGCGGGAGCCTTGTCTGTGAGTGAATTGCGAGGAAGTCTCAGGCGGGAGACCCCTCCCTATAGGGGTCCGCACTTCACGTTCGAGTCCGAGGCGATGCATCGGCCTCCTGTGACCATCGCCATGTTTGTGCTCCTGAGGCTTGAACTCGCAGGAAGTATGAGGCGGGAGCCTCGTCTGTGAGTGACTTGCGAGGAAGTCTCAAGCGGGAGCCCGCTCCCTATGGGGCCCGCACTTCATGTTCGCATCCGAGGCGGGTCATCGGTCTCCTGTGACCATCGCCATTGTTGGGCCCCCGAGGCCTGAATCTGGAGGAATATCAGGCGGGAGCCTCGTCTGTGAGTGACTTGCGAGGAAGTCCGGGCGGGAGCCCCCTCCCTATGGGGCCCGCGCTTCATGTTCGAATCCGAAGCGGGCCATCGGCTTCCTGTAACGGTCGTCACTTTTGGGCTCCTGAGGCTTGAATCTGAAGGAAGTATGAGGCAGGAGCCTCGTCTGTGAGTGACTTGCGAGGAAGTCTCAGGCGGGAGCCCCCTCCCTATGGGGCCCGCATTTCATGTTCGCATTCGAGGCGGGTCATCGGTTTCCTGTGACCATCGCCATGTTTGGGCCCCCGAGGCCTGACTCGCGAGGAAGTATGAGGCGGGAGCCTCGTCTGTGAGTGACGTGCGAGGAAGTCTCAGGCGGGAGCCCCCTCCCCATGGGGCCCGCACTTCATGTTCGCATCCGAGGCGGGTCATCGGTCTCCTGTGACCATCGCCATGTTTGGGCCTTCGAGGCCTGAATCTGGAGGAAGTATGAGGCGGGAGCCTCGTCTGTGAGTGACTTGCGAGGAAGTCCAGGCGGGAGCCCCCTCCCTATGGGACCCGCACTTCATGTTCGAATCCGAGGCGGGCCATCGGCTTCTTGTAACGGTCGTCACGTTTGGGCTCCTGACGCTTGAATCTGGAGGAAGTATGAGGCGGGAGTTTCGTCTGTGAATGAATTGCGAGGAAGTCTCAGGCGGGAGACCCCATCCCTACGGGGCCCGCACTTCATGTTCGAATCCGATGCGGTTATCGGCTTCCTGTGATTATTGGGCTCCCGAGGCCTGAACATGGAGGAAGTATGAGGCGGGAGCCTCGTCTGTGCGCGATTTGCGAGGAAGTCTCAGGCGGGAGCCCCCTCCCTATTGGGCCCGCACTTCATGTTCGAATCCGAGGCGGGCCATCGGTCTCTTGTGACTGTCGTCATGGTTGGGCTCCCGAGGCCTGAACATGGAGGAAGTATGAGGCGGGAGCCTCGTCTGGGAGTGAATTGCGAGGAAGTCTCAGGCGGGAGCCCCCTCCCTACTGGGCCCGCACTTCATGTTCGAATCCGAGGCGGGCCATCGGTCTCTTGTGACTGTCGGCATGTTTGGGCTCCCGAGGCCTGAATCTGGAGGAAGTATGAGGCGGGAGCCTCGTCTGTGAGTGACGTGCGAGGAAGTCTCAGGCGGGAGCCCCCTCCCTATGGGGCCCGCACCCCACGTGCTTTGTCTGGGCCGTCCTCTGGCGCGCGCTTCCTCGGGGTCGTCCTCTGGCGCGTAGCCGCTGGGACGCACGACGTGCGTTTCCTCTAGGTCGTGTTCCGAACGAGGAAGAGGATGAGGATGAGAAGGACGAGGACGAGGACGAGGAGGAGGTGGAGGAGGAGGCAGGACGAGAAAGAGAGAGGGAGAGGAGGAGGAGGCAGAGGGGGAACAGGACGAGGAGGAAAAGGAGGAGGAGGAGGAGGAGGAGGAAGAGGAGGAGGAAGAGGAGGGGGGGAGGAATGCCCTAGGAGGCCTTTGGAGGTCCAGGGGGGCCCAGAAGACTCCAGGAGGCCCCAGGAGGAGGCAGGAGGCCTAAGGAGGAGGCCTAAGGAGGAGGCATGATAAGGAGGAGGAGGAGGAGGAGGAGGAGGAGGAGGAGGATAAGGAGGGGGAGGAGGGGGAGGAGGGGGAGGCGGGGGAGCAGGAGTAGGAGTAGGAGGAGTAGGAGGGGGAGGAGGGGGAGCAAGATGAAGAGGATGAGGAGGCGGAGGAGGGAGAGGGCGAGGAGAAGTAGGTGGGAGAGCGGAGGAGGAGGAGGAGGAAGAGGAGGAGGAGGTGGAGGAGGGAGAGGGAATAGGAGGAGGAGGAGGAGGAGGAGGAGGTGGTGGTGGTGGAGGAGGAGGCAAGAGGTGGAGGAGGTGGCAGGGGTTGAGGCATGAGGAGGAACAGTCAGGAGGAGAAGGAGGAGGCAGGAGTAGGCGGGATAATGGAAGTTAAACATATTCTCATGTGGGGTCCGACCGTCGGGGTACTTTTCCACAACGTCGGGTCTCAAAGGGGATGCGCAGTCATAAACTGGGAGATTTGTTTAGGGCCATCGAAATAAGGCGATGCCAAGTATGAGGGTGGGGATCGGTTGCAGGCTGGTACGTCCCCGCCCATCCTATCACCTAGGCCTCCCAGATGGGCTCTGCTCATGGTGCCGGAGGAGCGTGCCGCATCTCCGATGCATCGGCATGCGGCTCGATGTGCCCGATCTTCACGCCGACGGCGCCCCTTCACCGCCGATGTCGCCGATGCATCGCGATCCTCCGGCCCCATGTGCTCGGACCTAATTCAGGAGGCCTCTATATCAGGAGGGCCG